ACTCCCAACACTGACTGAGTTGCTCACCTCTTGTGCTCCCATTGAACCTTGCTCTTGCCTCATCGTCACCCTTATCACACCAATGCCCTGTTTCCCTCCCTAGACCATAGTGCCTCCAGGTGGGGGACCTTGTCAGATTCTGTGTTCCTAGCATCTGGCACAGCGCTTGGTTCATGAAGAGACACGGAGCTATGTACTTACACTTTGTGCAACTTGTCGTGTGCTGAATGAATTTGGCACCGTGTTGTCCCCTGGCTGCTGGGGACATTAAGGGGAAGAGGGGACCTGGAGGACCAGTAGGGGCTTAGGAGTCTCAAGCCCTGAGCCATTTTTCCCAGGTGTCCGTTCCCTCCAGCCTCTGCTTGGCTCCCCCTAGTGGCAGTTTGTCTGTAGTGACAGGGCCCGAGGGCCAGGTGATTGCAGGAAAGGGACCAGAGGGGGCAGTGTCCTCAAGCCAGGCTTCAACCTCTACTGGGTGGCCCTCTCCTCATGGTGCTCCTCCCCTGCCTGGCTGTAGCCCCTGCAGCACCACAGAGTCCCCATCCACCTTGTCACCGGAGGCCCTACCCCAAGAACTTGGAAGGTGAGGAGAAAAGTTGGGTAGTGTGACTCCAGGCTGATTTCCATGACAGAGGCAGAAAAACTCTGCTCCTGTGTGTTGCCCAGGCAAAATGGATTGGTCAAGCCTGGCTGCCCTCTTTTGTCTTATATGCAAAGCCTGGATCAGAACCACAAGATGTGAGTGGGTTCATGGCAACTATATGGATGAAACAACTAGAGCCAGCTGTAGCAGTGAATGGACACGCCGAGTGTGGCAGTGGAGACTTGAAAAATAAAAGATGCAAGCCAGTTGAAAACACAAAGCCGGGTGGAGGGAAATGAGATTAAGGCCTATTGCCACACTGCACGGTTTGATTTTGCTTTCAAATCAGCTTTCCCCTCCCCCTCTTTGTAATTTTATAGTTGGTAGCTGAGCTACTGGAGGTCTATCTTGGGGGAAAAGAGCTCAGGAAAGGGAAAGATGGAGAAGAGTCTCACTCTGGTGGCTTAGGACATGGGCAGGGACAGTAGGCTGTCCCCAAGGGGCATACAATAGGCCAGCAACAAAGAGGATCACACCCACATGGACTGAAGCTGCAGCAAGGAGCCAGCCAGGTTTCAGGGTCTCTGGGGCTGGGGAGGTGAGCAAGGGCTGGGCTGGAGAGAGCTACCCTGCCCCTTTGTCTCTTCTTCCCCTTCATTCTGTGAATGAAAAACCAAGGGAACATCCTCCAAAAGAACAGCAGGCCTAAGAAGCTTCATGGCAAGACTACTTAGCAACATCAAGGGCTGAGGCGCCTGGCTGCTTCAGTCAGTAGAGCCTATGAATGACTCTTGGTCTCGGGTCATGAGTTTGAGCCCCACATCGGGGCTCACTTGAAAAAAAAAAAGTAACATCAGTGGCTAAGGGCATCTGGGCCTTCCCAGGAAGGAGAGAGAGGCAGCGAGGGGATGGTGGTTGGGAGGAGTGTCTTCTTTCTCGTAGCCCCTTGTGCTTAGACAGAAGAGTGGTCTCAGGAAGGGCAGAGTGGGGGGAATCTAGCCCCCACAAGCCCTTTCCCTTGGCGATCTTTGGGGCCATGGAGAGAACTAGACAATCATTACCACAGGCTGTCCGGGTCTGAATATGCCTGTCGCTCTCTTAGCTCCCCTACAGTTATAAATAACTATGCTTTGAAACATGGGACTTAGAGGAAACGGTTTTATCAAAGAGTTTATGGAGCATCGAACTTTATCTATCAGGATTCAGGGAAGAATTTGCTTTCTTCTTCAACAAGGAGTCTCAGACTAGTAGAAAAAAGATCTGCAAGAGAGAAGAAGACCTTGAAACATGGCAGGAGTAAAGCACAAGGGGTGGGGGGAGTCTAGCTGTAGCATTCTTGCCTTTAAACCATGACCTGACAGGAGCCACCTGTTCCGAGTAGCTGTGTCGAGGGGCCAATGACTGGTGTATGTGTGCGGGAGGGTAGAGATATCATGGTGTATTCTTTGGGATAATCACTTGCAAAAGGATGAGCTGGTAAGAACAGTCTTCCGGGGGAGCCAGCAGTTGGCAAAAGGCAGCAAATGACTAACAGGCACAAGGTCAATCCTTGGCCTGAAAATGAGGTGTGAATTAACTTCCAGTATGTTCCTGCCCCCATGGTTGTGTTAACTCTAATCCTCTTCTCCCACTGGCAGCCATTGAGTGGGCAGTAATGTATGACTGGCGACCCCAGTTATGTGATGGGGGAGGGGTGCTCTGGCATCCCTAGAGGACTCCCAAGATGCATGGTGCTCCTCCAGCCAAACCTCTTTTGGTCATATTGTGTATGCACTGGTGGCAAGAAGCATCATCAAGGGCAACAAAGACAAAATGCCCAGCAAAGGCAGGGCAAGGGGAGACCAGAGGCAGAGGAAGCTGGGGCTCAGGGCTCCAGGAGCCCTTCAACTGAAGAGGCATCTGGCTGGAGACTAGGGGTGCAGACTGAAAACTAGGAGGCTGACTCCATCTCCTCACCAAATGTAATGGCTATTTTCACAAACAGGACCTTTACTCCCTCAGTGGTCCCTAGTCTTGAGTGGTGGGCCCACCAACAGTGCAGAACTTTCTTCCTTCACCCTCACTTCTAGAGTTATTTGTGGGGGAGGTGCCGCCAATAACCAGATTCCTTTCCAGAAGGCTTTTCCCCTCCCCACCCCTCCACCAAGAGCTAGTAAGAGGGAGATGGCAGGAGGCAAGATCACTAAGAGGCGCAGTTTTTCTTAATTTCAGGCTTTTTGTATGATCCTAATAACCTTCAGGTCAAGGGCTACATGTTATTAATAGTCAAATTAAATGAACTGTAGCAGGGGGGAACCTGGGTGGCTGTCAGTTAAGCGTCTGACTTTGGCTCAGGTCATGATCTTGTGCTGCGTGAGTTCAAGCCCCGCATTGGGCTCTGTGCTGACAGCTCGGAGCCTGGAGCCCACTTCAGATTCTGCGTCTCCCTCTTTCTCTGCCCCTCCCCCTGCTTGCGCTCACGCACTCTCTCTCTCCTAAAAGTAAACATTTTCAAAAACCTAAAAAAAAAATGAACTCTAGCAGAAAATGCTTCTATTTCCAAATCTGGCAAGGAGACCAGCAGTCCCCAGTTTGAGATGAACTGAATCTTTAGCTTGGGGACTCAATGAGATTAGCCTTGTTCCAAGTAACCTCCCTTCCTCTGGTTCTGAGGGTGGGAGGTGAGGGATGTAGAGAACCTGGTGATGCCTTTTGCTCAGAAGCGGTCCTACACCTATTACAGGTATAGCTCCAACTGTGATCGGGCTGCAACTCTGTTCAGCTCCGGTATCTCCTCCTTACACCCCACCAGGTCTGTTCCTGCTGCTATTCCCCAGTTGGGAGTCACTTACCATCCAGGACCCTTGGGTTTCTCCCAAAAAGAAGGGTGGTGGAGGTGCTTATGGAACTCTGCTGAGTGTCACGGGGAATTGAATACTGACCTTCCCCCAGGCACAGGGGCCACAGGTGGGGACTGAAGGCCTTTCCTGAATGACCTTAAAGCCTCATTCTAGGAACTGGATTACCCAAAGGGGCCCACAATAGAGTCCAAAAGTTATGGCGCAGCAAGCCCTGATCAATGGGTCCAATGCTTCAGGAAGTTGTGACTGGCAGGATAGGGCACTTGGTTCTCCATGTCAGCTTCTCCCAGAGCACTTGCGGTGAAAGAAGGCTAGCGGGCCGGAGGCACACACTCCATAGCTCATTTCAGTCCCCTTTTGAATCACTTTTTTTTCAGAACACTCATGGTAAAGTCAACATCCCATTATTCAACATAAAGCACAACCAGAGCAAACAAAAGCAAGAAGCATGTGGCTTCTCCCGAAGTTAAAGAGCGTCCTGATTTGATGATGCACCAAAAAAAATCCCTTCACCTTCTGAAATGCGTTAGCATTCATTCAATTGTACACATTTACCTTCCCCAGTGTTTAATTAGAAGGCCTGAAATTAAATGCCACACATGTATCAACTACTGATGGAGGGAAATGTTACATTTGGCAAAATTGGTTCCAAAATGAATAAATTATAAAGACTACACTCTTCCTCTGAGAAAGCACTTGGATTCCTATTCCCCAGGAATAAGAATGAGAGATCCAGCAGGCCTCACAGGCGCTGTAATTCAGATACAATGCACAGAATCACGTTGTATCTAGTTCTTAGCACACCCCAGACATCTTAAGGTCTGAAGGTTGGATAAAACTGCGGCCAAGGTCTTCTCTTGGCTTAACAATGCAACTGACAGTCTGGAAGCACAGAAGAGTGATCACTGGGCCGTAAGACACCTAGACCAAACCTTTGGCAGAAAGACCGGTACAGATATGATACAGATCCACAATCACACAAAGACACTTTATTAGTTTCCTCTACAAGAGACAGTAAACAGTAACATCAACCTTTTTAACAGAAATCTCAGGTCACTGGAGAGGCCAAATCCATGGGAGGAAGATGAAAATGAGATATTTAATCTAAAGGCACTACGACCCCACCTAAAACCTACTACCAGGGTGGTAGCGGGCTCAGGAAGATTAAGCTACAGCAGAAACAATCCCATGTAAATGTTAGAGATCACGTAGCAGGGGGTAAGTTTGCTTTCCAGAAGACTGTAGTACAAGGAACATTTGGGCCTGAGAGGGTTATTTGGCCAGGGAAAGGGCAAGATGGCTGAAGGTCAAGTCAAATGTAAAGGAACAGGTACAAAGGAGAATCCAAGGGACACAGTCCCCAAGCAGGGGGTGAAGGATCAGGCTATTTCCTCCCAAGAAGCATTCACTGCCCTGTGTGCTGCCACCCCTCAGCGCCCCCCCCCCCACCCGCGCCAACCAGAGAGCTGCCCCCTGGCTCCTGCTTTACAGGACTCAGCAACCAGAGCTGGGTTGGGGCTGCCTAGGGTTCCTGCTGTAATTTAGCATAGACTTTTGAGAGCTTTTCACAGGTTGGGGGTTGGGGGATGGGAACTGGGTCGGCTTTGTCACCAGTGGTTCGGAACCAAGGAAACCCTGAAGAATTCACATGCAAAGTAGTCTGAGCTTCCCTCATCAACTTCAAACACCCCTACAACACAACACCCTCTCAAGCCTGCAATCTTGCAGCAGTTCGGCTGTGGTTAAAGCTGCAAAGCTGCGAGGCTCACAGAATCCAAGAAGCCGGAATGAGACAACGGAGGAAGGAAATCCCAGCAGTGAGTCTCAATCCGTCTTTCTCTAATTTAGGAGAAACGCTAATATACTTGATGTGGGGTGTGGAAAGCTACACTGGAGCAAGCCGGGTTTTCTGCTGGATTTTTCATCAAATGCCAAGGGAGAACAAGGAGCGGGGTTCACTTTATTTGTAAAAAGCCTCAGCAGTAATTCTATTATAAAGGGACATGGCTGAACAGGTAGGAAACGGACTCCCCGTTGTGAGTTCTCCTGATGGCTTCTGCGAGGATCATTGAGATGTCAATCACCTAGGAAAGTGAGAAAATCGGCAGGTTAGGAACACCCAGACAGAGGACCCACCCTTTTGTAGACACTGAGGAGCAGACCTGTGAGGGTCCTTCCTCTTAAAACAGCTGCACTGTGCTATTTCCCTTTGGGAGCCACACCCAGCCATTCTGCAGCCTTTTTTTTTTTTTTTTACGTTTAGTTTTTGAGAGAGAGAGGGAGAGCAAGCATGAGTCAGGCAGGGGCAGAGAGAGAAGGAGATAGAGGATCTGAAGCAGGCTCTCCTGATAGCAGAGAGCCCGACTCAGGGCTCAAACTCACAGACCCGTGAGATCATGACCTGAGCTGAAATCAAGAGTCAGACGCTTAACTGACAGCCGCCCAGGTGCTCCTCTGCATTGTATTTTTAGTATCACCACTTAGGAAAGAGTCAAAGTGCTAATGGAGGAAAACCCCTCACTCAGACTCACCAAGGTGGTGGTGGGTTGACATTTACAAATTCTTAGGAATGAAAAAAAAACCCATTTAAGCTGGAAAAAAAAAATCCTTAAGAAGGACATGGATGCTCCAATTCTACATATTAATTTCAGAAAGCGAATGGACTACTGTACACTTTAATTAAGCAAGGCCTTGTTCTTTTGATACAACAGTACTCGAACTTTAGTGTCTAATTCCTTGGGGAATTAAAACAGTGGCCCCAGGACCTCTTGGTTGTGCACGTCTCAGATGGAGCAAAGGAATCTGCATTTTAACAAGGACCATAGGTAATGAACTTTGTTTCCAGAGCATGCTTTGAGAAACGCTGCCATCCTAAGGGGTGTACTACTGGTTCAAAGGTTTCATGTTATGTCTGCAGGGGCCAACAGTTAATAGCGAGACACACATACTGCAGAGCAAGGACTTGTAAATGTGAGCGGGTATCACAATCACTGAGACAGTCTGTTGAAATGTAGCATCCCTGGTGCTCCATCCTCCAGAGGTGCATCTAGCAACTTGAATCTTTTAAACCTGATTTTGTTTTCTTACTTTTGGACCACAGATCCTGATGACAGACTGAGCCCTTAAGAGCAAAGCGGGGAGGCTTCAGAACATAGACACCCAATTCAATGTATGAAACCACCTCCTAAATAAATACTTAAGAGTATTTTGCAAGAATTGCATCCTTACCTGTATTTTGGAGCAATGCTTCATCTTATCCTCCTGAGGTATGGTATTGGTGACGACTACTGCTTCAAAGCATGCATTGTTAATGCGGGAAATGGCCGGGCCAGAAAAGATTCCATGAGTCAAGATCGCATAAACTCTGGTGGCTCCAGCTGAGAGAAGTCTAGAGGAAGAAGCAGAGATGCTTTGGATTAATCTCACCTGTCACCACAGGACCTGAGTTCGGGGAGAGGAGTGTATTAGTCAGCTTGGGCTGCCATAGCAAAATACCACAGACTGTGTGCCTTCAAAGACAGAACTTTATTTCACAGTCCTGGAGGCCGGGAACCCTAAGATTAATGTGGTGACAGGGTGACCTTCATCCTGAGGCCTCTCCCTGTGGCTTGTTGGCAGCCGCTGTCTCACTGTGCACTCATGTGACCTCTGTGTGCACATATGCATGGGGTAATCAGCTCTCTGGTGTCTCTGCTCACAAGAGCACTATTCCCATCATGAGACGGTCCCATCCTCGTGACCTCATCTAAACCTAGTGACCTCCCGAAGGCCCCATCTCCAAATATCATCGCACTAGGGGGCCTAGAACCACAACATATGAATTTTAGGAGAGACACAATTCGGTTCACAGCAAAGACAAATATATGGACTAAGAACTGATCTGAATAGGTTTGGATTAACATCGTGAGACTGGTACAGACTGCTATGCTCAAGGAAATCCATCTCCTTTTTTTCCTGGGCACACGGCTGGACTACCTTTCCCAGTATCTCTTGCATAGTTAGGAGTGACCATATGCCTTAATTCTAGCTATCAGAATGTGGGCAGATACAACGTACACAACTGGTTGGGCTTATAAAAATCTTCCATGGGTGGGGTGCCTGGGTGGCTCAGTCGGTTAAGCATCCAACTTCAGCTCAGGTCATGATCTCACGGTTCGAGCCCCGCATTGGGCCCTATGCTGACAGCTCAGAGCCTGGAGCCTGCTTCAGATTCTGTGTCTCCCTCTCTCTCTGGCCCTCCCCCACTCATGCTCTCTTTCTCTCTCTCAAAAATAAATAAAAATTAAAAAAAGATATTTAAAAAAATCTTCCACGGGTGATTCTCCATGCTCTTTTCTCCCTTTCTGGCTGGCCAAAATGGAAATGTCTTCCAAGGTAATCTTGGAAGCCTTATGTTAAAGATGTGGCACTACAAAACCAAAAGAGGAATACTTGCACTGGAGTTAAACCACAAACAAGAACTATCGCATTAACCAACTGACATTTCAGGGAGTTGATCTGTTACAGCAATTAGCATTACCTTAATAATACAAGGATGAAATGAGTTTTATAAATGTATACTCCAGGATCCAAATCAGCAATCATTCAGCACACAAATATTTTCTTAGCCCCTATTATATGCCAGGGCCTGTGCCTGGCACAGACACCCAGAGGTTAAGGAAAAATCACGAAAAACTATGCTGTCCACAGTAATGTGGATTATAAGCAATGGGGAGCCACTTAAGGTTTTAAAGGAGAGGAGTGATGGTATCTAGCCTTAGTTTTAGACAGATTCGCAAGAGGGGAGGCAGTGTGAGAGAAGACAGACTGGGGAGGTAAGAGATTGATTACCAGCAGCAGAGAGAACAGAGTGAAGGCAGTTTAGAACAGTGCAGGCAAGAGAGGAGAAATAACATGAATGAAGGTGGTAGCAACTAAAATGGACAGTCAAGAGGTAGGACCAGGGTTTCTGGCTTAGGTAAAATATAAATAGGAAAATACTATATACCCTGGAACAACATGGGGGTTAGGGGTGTCAACCACCCACCCCCATAGTTGAAAATCTGAGCACAACTTTTGACTCACCCAAATCATAACTAATACCCTCCTGCTGACCAGAAGCCTCATCGATAACATAAAGTCCATTCAGACATATTCTGCATGTTATAGTATATGCTTTATTTTTATTTTATTTAGTTTTATTTATTTAGAGAGAGAGCAAGTGCACAAGTGGGGGAGGGGCAGAGAGAGAGGGAGAGAGAATCCCAAGCAGGCTCCACACTGTCAGCACAGAGCCTGATGCAGGGCTTAGATTCATGAACCATGAGATCATGACCCGAGCCAAAGTCAGACACTTACCCAACAGGCGCCCCATATGCTGTATTTTTACAATAAAATAGGCTAGAGAAAAGAAAATGTTATTAAGAAAATCATAAGGAAGAGAAAATACATTTATAGTCCTCTACTGTATTTATCAAAAAAAAGCACAATAAGTGGACTCACACAGTTGAAATCTGTGTTCAAGGGCCAACTGTATAGTCCTGTCTGTTCAGGCCTATACATTTCTACCTTAATTTGTTTCTTAAAAAAAAAAACTATCGGGGCACCTGGGTGGCTCAGTCGGTTAA